AAGAATTCTTTAGAAATGATTACTTATGCTTTTTTTTTGTTTGTTTTCAAAATTATTTTTAAAAAAGGGGGGATTTAATGAAACTATATTGAGCTCACTTATTTTTATTGTTTTTTAGGAGAAACTTATTTTCGTGCCTGCAATTAGAAATTAGTTTTTTTGTTTAACAAACATTCTTGGTTTGCATGCGTAATTACTTTGGTCAACAACAATTTTTCATCAGACTCGATTTTGAGTGGCCCAGATACAGTTTTTTGTGCAGCTTTCAAATTTTGTTTATGAAAAGGGGATAAACTTTTATGTTTATAAATTTTGAAGGTCTTCAATGTTATGAATGCATTACTGACAGCGATGAAAACTGTCTTTTTCATCAGAAAATAAAAAACTGTTCTCGTTATGAAAACACTTGTATTACCGTTTCCTATGGCTACGAAATAGAAGGTCCAGATTTTAGCTCATATGAAAGTTTTTTTGAAAAACAATGTCATAACTCTTTAGCTGAAAGTTGCTTTCATAGACGCAGGGTTTATGAAGAGACTGGGATCAAAAAACCAAAGGTATGATGCATTTTTTTAAAAAAAACATTTTAAATTTAGCCCAATTAAGACAGATTTAAAACGTTCAAATTATACCCAGAATATCTTTTTTAGCGTCTTTTACAAATGTCTTTGTTAAATACATGCTGAGAATACATGATTACTCAATAAAAGATTCATTTAATATTGCTTTTAATATCATTGTTGTTGCTCCGAATATTATTTTGAGTTTTCAATTATACACCACATTATACATCACATTATACATCACATTATACATCACATTATACACCACATTAAAAGCAACTTTATATTAAACTATTTTACATTTTAATATCGTTATAGGTATCGTGTTGCAAGACTAATCTGTGCAATAAAGCTGTTAAAGAAATCAACTTTTTAAAAACCCTATTATAAAAAGAATTCTTTAGAAATGATTACTTATGCTTTTTTTTTGTTTGTTTTCAAAATTATTTTTAAAAAAGGGGGGATTTAATGAAACTATATTGAGCTCACTTATTTTTATTGTTTTTTAGGAGAAACTTATTTTCGTGCCTGCAATTAGAAATTAGTTTTTTTGTTTAACAAACATTCTTGGTTTGCATGCGTAATTACTTTGGTCAACAACAATTTTTCATCAGACTCGATTTTGAGTGGCCCAGATACAGTTTTTTGTGCAGCTTTCAAATCTGTGCTCAGTTTTTTTGTAGCACGTCTAGTTTTTGAAATGACATGCCTTATGTTTTGAGATTAGTGGCAATTAATGCAAGAATCAGCCTGACACCTTTTGTTATGTATGCGGCTTATTTACAGTGTCTGGTCAGCGGTGTAAAATTACAGCGAACTTGTCAAAAATCTACAAATTGTACTTTGGATGTCCGTTAGGTGATCAAGATAAAACATGGGCTCCACATATTATTGGCACAAGCTGTTCTAGTGAATTGCGTGACTGGCTTCACAAACGGAAAACTGCATTTTCATTTGCCATACCCATGGTATGGAGGGAGCCAAAGGATCATGTAACTGATTGTTATTGTTGCATTGTTAATACAACTGGATTTTCATCGAAAAATAGGCACAAAATCGTTTATCCAGATTTGGATTCGGCAACGAGGCCAGTTCCACATGACCCCTCATTACCAGTTCCAATGCCTCCAATAGATGTATTAGATTCTGTCGAAGATGAGATGGAAGTAGACTCTTGTGATGAACATCAAGATACTGCCGATCTTGACTATTCACCTGATGTCGAAAAAACGCCAGAAGTATTCACTCAAGAAGAACTAAATGATTTGGTCCGAGACTTAACCTTATCAAAGGAAAAAGCGGAACTTTTGGGGTCACGACTTAAACAAAAAAATTTGCTTGCAACAAACGTTAAAGTGTGCCACTATCGAAAGCGTAATCTTCAATTAGCTACATTTTTTACTGTTGATGGCCCATTGTGCTATTGCAATGACATCAGTGGACTGTTTGAAAGTTTATCACAGCCGCATAAACCTTCTGAATGGCGTTTGTTAATCGATTCGTCAAAGCGAAGCTTGAAAGCTGTGTTGTTGCATAAGGGAAATTAAAAGCCTTGCATACCAATTGCTCATTCTGTTCATCTGAGTGAGACGCATGAAAACATAAAAATTCTCCTTAAAGCAATCAACTACAAAACTCATCAATGGAATATCTGTGGTGATCTAAAAGTCATTGGCATGCCGATGGGCATGCAAATGGGTTTCACAAAATTCTGCTGTTTCTTGTGTTTATGGGACAGCCGCGCTGTAACAGAACATTACGTGAAACGAAATTGGGACCAAAGGAATGAGTATGAGCCAGGAAAAAATAGTGTTGAAATTATTCCTTTGGTCGATCCACAAAAGATTTTTTTACCTCCTCTACATATCAAACTTGGCTTAATGAAGAACTTTGTAAAAGCAATGGGGCAATCCAATTCAGCTGGATTTCAATACTTGGTGGAAAAATTTCCAAAAATGAGTGCAGCATAGTTGAAAGAAGGAATTTTTGTCGGACCTCAAATTAGAGAGGTTTTACAAGATATTAATTTGAAAAATTCTCTCACAGATGAAGAAAAGGAAGCTTGGCAAGCCTTTACTTGGGTTTGTGCTAACTTTCTTGGTAACCACAAGTCACCTGAATATGAAGCAGGCATTCAAGAGCTGCTCGATTCATATCAAAAAATGGGATGTCGCATGTCTTTGAAGTTGCACTTTTTACATTCTCATCTGAAATTTTTTCCTGAAAATCTGGGTGCAGTGAGTGATGAACAAGGTGAACGATTTCATCAAGATATTCAACTGATGGAAAATCGCTATCAAGGGTTTTGGAATGAAAGCATGATGAATAAAAAATTGTATATGTTAATACTGACTTAAATTGTTGACAATTGTACGGATCTAAGATAGTAATAGGGTACGAGATGCAAATTCATACAACACTTAAGGCAAATGTCTTAATTTCCCTGAGATTTGCAAAATAAGAGGGGCCCTTATCTCAAAATGTGTACGTGATAGAGAAAAACTAAATAGATATTTGGAATCAGAGTGAAAAGTTTATCCAGAAAAAAATATTTTCATTCATGAAGAGAACAAAAAGTTCCATTTTGTTGACCAGTGTTATTTGAAATTTTTCTTATGCGTAATTATTTGAAATTTTTATATATTTTGACAGCATGGTGTCTTTTAAAGACTTTTTATTTTTAAAAGATTGCTTATGATTGGCAAAACGTTTTTTCCATTCACCCTCTGTTAAGCCAATATATTGTTTATTGGGTACATTCTTAAAAGTAATACATTTATTTACCACATTTTTTGATAAACAACTTCCACTCATAGGACAATTCATTTTTGTTTACAATTGCAATTTTTTGTAGTTTTTTCATTTAGGATTTCTTTTTTATTTAAAAAAGCATTATTGTTACTTTTTATAATTCTTTTTTAATTTAATTTTTTGGTATAAATTGAAGTTTTATTAATTTGATCATTCATTTCTGATGAGTCTTTGTTGATGAAACACAGTGTAAAATGAAAAAAATTTTTTTTTATAAACATTGAATACTCTATTTTGTAGAATACATTTTTAAAATTGTTCAAATATATATATATATATATATATATATATATATATATATATATATATATATATATATATAGGTACTCTAGGTAAATAGGTCTTCTTGAAGACCCTTTTTAACCTGAAAATAAAAAAAAATTACTTTATTATGTAGTTTCATTAATTTTTAAAAAGTAAGAAAAAACTTACTTATAATGAGAAACGTGAAGAGAAAAAGCATCAGAAGATACTAAATAACTTTTAAAGATAAACTTAAAAAGAGATAAATGTAGCATAATAGTTTAAAAGCATAATAGAATAGAATAATGTATAAAAGTAATGCGAGTTTAACTAAAAAATGTTACTTTTGAGGGCGGAGGGAGAATTGAAGACATAATTTAAGAAAGAAAATGCAGTTTTTTTTTTTTTTTTTGATAAAGAACGAAAATAAACGACAAAAATAAAAACATATTTTTTTACCCTGCACTTTTGGCTAGCTGAATACGGTTTACAATAATAACTCTGACAGAGCTTTACTTCTTGTTTGGCACACAGCTTAAGGTATCGGGATTTTACCAAGGTTCCATTACCAGATTTTACGACATTTGTGTGATACATCGTCAAACAGGATTTTTCAGTTTCTTGACACTCTTCAAGTTTTTGTTTTACATAACAATTTGTTTCTGTATCCGAGGAACATTTGTAACATTTTAAAGAAGAACCTACGTAAAAAAAACTTTTTTAAAAGAGAAATATACATATTTTTTAAATAGTTTTGTAATAGAGAAGTATTTTTTTTTTTTGTAACAGTAAAAAAAAAATATTTCACACCTATAAATTTAACAATAACTAGTTAAAGCTCAAGTTAATCAGACAAAGTGAATGCTCAAGAATAATAAGTTAAAACTCAATCAATTAAATTACATATTGTTAATTAATTAATTAACTTGAATCTTACAGATATCGACGGATAATAACAAAATAACAAATCTCAAAATTGAAGCTAGCTGCATAATGAACCTTCAACTCTTTTCTTGACGTTCTTTCTCTGATCGCTCAAATAAATATGATATATGGTGTTTGCAAAACACTTTTTTCTCTCTTTTTTTCTTACAATACATCCTTTTTCTGTAAAGAAAACTATTGCAAATCTTACTCTAAATAATTCAATTTTAAAAAAAATGGAACTTGCTTCTACTAATACTATCTTTGCCGATTAGAAATTTAATGAAGTTTGTTGAGTAAAAAATATTTTTTCATCACTGAAAACACGTTTGCTAAGTTCAGTTTGAAAGCATTAAATATTCAGATCATCACAATCAAACTTAATTTTACTTAATAACAAATTTTCATTTTTATTGAAAGTACCAAATAAAAGGATTTCCATATTAACAAAAAGGAAAAGAAGGAACAAAGAAAAAAAGTAAAAAAAAAAAACAATATAAAAATTATTAAAAATAAATAAAAATGATCCATAAAATTATATTTATGATTTCACTGAATATTATCTTTATCATAGTTATCTCCGTAATAAAGACAAGCGGTAATAGTTATTTTGTGTATGGGGAATACATTTTTATAAATTAAATTGATTTTGTTTATGAAAAGGGGATAAACTTTTATGTTTATAAATTTTGAAGGTCTTCAATGTTATGAATGCATTACTGACAGCGATGAAAACTGTCTTTTTCATCAGAAAATAAAAAACTGTTCTCGTTATGAAAACACTTGTATTACCGTTTCCTATGGCTACGAAATAGAAGGTCCAGATTTTAGCTCATATGAAAGTTTTTTTGAAAAACAATGTCATAACTCTTTAGCTGAAAGTTGCTTTCATAGACGCAGGGTTTATGAAGAGACTGGGATCAAAAAACCAAAGGTATGATGCATTTTTTTAAAAAAAACATTTTAAATTTAGCCCAATTAAGACAGATTTAAAACGTTCAAATTATACCCAGAATATCTTTTTTAGCGTCTTTTACAAATGTCTTTGTTAAATACATGCTGAGAATACATGATTACTCAATAAAAGATTCATTTAATATTGCTTTTAATATCATTGTTGTTGCTCCGAATATTATTTTGAGTTTTCAATTATACACCACATTATACATCACATTATACATCACATTATACATCACATTATACACCACATTAAAAGCAACTTTATATTAAACTATTTTACATTTTAATATCGTTATAGGTATCGTGTTGCAAGACTAATCTGTGCAATAAAGCTGTTAAAGAAATCAACTTTTTAAAAACCTACAAAAATCAAAATTTAAAATTGTCACCAAAACTGCCCATTATTTTTTTAGTAATATTATTTTTATTTGAATTCTTCTAACTTATATTTAAATATTAGCAATAAAGAAAACATACAGTTTAAAGTTTTAGTCCAGCATGAAATGAAAAAATTAATTTTTATATCAATTTGAAAATAACAAATTCACTAAATCTTTTTAGTGAACTTATCATTATAAAATAATTGAAGGGGTAAATTTTTTTTTATTTGATAAAAAAAAAAAAAAATACTAATTTGACTTTTAATTGAAGATATTATTTAAAAAACCAGTCATATTAGTTAGTTTTACATTAGAGTATAAATACTCCTTTCATCATTTAACTACTGTTATTAGAGTCATCAGAGTAATCATCATCAGCTCTTTTATCATCATTAGTGGTCTGAGAGTAAAATAAAGTTATTGGTTGAATTCTTTCAAAAATAAAACTAATTTTTATAAACCATTAAGTTTGACAGTGTTCATTGGGACTTTTTTGTAAAGTTAGTTAGAGTTAGAGGTTTAAGTTTACTTTCTAGATTTGTTAGCTTGGCTAGCTAACATAATTGACATAACTTTCTATATTTGTTAGCTTAGCTAGCTAACATAATAGACATAATTTTTATTTTGTCCTGCGCAATTATTTGAGAAATCACTAATTTTTGATTTACAAATTTGTACGCTAAGTATTAAAAAAAAATTCTGTTTTTTTTCTGTTTTTTACTTTTTTTTTACTTTTGTTTTTCCTCTTTCCTAAAACCTTTATAATATCAATACAAAGAAACATCATCATTAATGCTCACTGATTGTCAGCAAGGTCATGCAAACAAAAAAACACAAAACTAAAGCTGTCTCCAGTAAAATGCTTACACTCTAAAAAATCTTTTCTTAATTAAAAAAAAAAAATTAATCCCTCATATTTGATTCTAGGAAAGATTGCCTTGAAATGAGGAAATTGGTTTTTATGGAAATCCTTAAATTTGACATATTGAAAGTATCCCTTGAAATTAGGTAATTTTTAAGATATAATTGTTCCTGAAAAATTAATTCCTTAAAATAAGGTAATTGTTAGGTAATAATTTTCTTTCATTAATATTCTATCAATGTATATAACGCATTTTGATTATTTTACGTAATATTATTACGAAATATTAATACGTTATATTATTACGTAATATTAGAGGCAATTAATTTGCAAAATAGGGTGTATCAAAAAACAACTTTTTTTGAATTTGAAATTGTAATAGAGCGGAAAAGTTGCATAATTATGCAACTTTTTCGCTCTATTACAATTTCAGAAATCATTTTATTTACCTTCAGATCAAGTTTGCGCTTTGGCTAGTAGAGAAGGCTTCATTCGTGCAAGGCTTGGATTGCTAAAAATAATGTCTTTATTCAACACAAAAAGTCAGTTTGAGACAGATCCAAATAAATCAGATAGTTGAACTTTATTACAACTAAACTTTAAACATTTTTCAAAAACATTTTCCACTCTATTAAAACTTTAATTGTACATTATGGGCTGCAGAGCTTGTTTGCCAGAAACTCATGAAACAGTGTTTTTTCGTAAAAATTCAGCCTTCTAGCGGCAACTGAAGACTTTAAAATATTTTTTTAAAAATTGTAACCATTTCTAACTTAGTCATTGTGTGATGTTTAAACTTTATTACAACTCTATTAAATGCAACTCTAACAAATGCTTTTGTTATTTGTAATTTGTAAATACCCTAATTTTAGAATGTACCTTAAAAAAGTGTTTACATTCGGGTGTATGAAATAGAAACCCTAATTTTTAAATGTACCTTAAAAAAGTGTTAACATTTGGGTGAAGTGAGACAGAAAAAAGAAATATTTATGCCTGCTTCTTCCCGTCGCCGTTTAACTGTTTCGATTCGTGAAATCTCTTGAACATTTTTATGTAGAATAGGTGATTTTATCAGTTTCTATTAATTTGTGGTAAAATGTTGTTTTAAATTTACTTTTTTTTTTTTTTTTTTTATGTATTTAGGTGCTCCCAGAAGTCCTTGCGGTCTTATCATAGAGCACCGCGGGAGAGCATTTAACAGGAAGTTCACGCCTCCTTCCATACCAATGTCGCTTGTTGGGCTAGAGATGGCGTCGAACCTCGGACCTCTGGGTTCTGAGCCAGAACTCTAACCACTGCGCCACGGCTGCTCTACTTGTCCCACTTCTACTCACACTTGTCCCACCTTGCCCCAATGGCGCGGTTTCTCTAAAAGCAAAAATTCATATACTTAGTAATAATTGGCTGGAAGCCTAAGGGGATTGAGTAGGTGTCTAAAAAGAAGATTTATTTGTAAAAACTTGTTTGGTTCAGTTTATACATCAAGCATAGAGATATTGCAATTACCCTTAAAATATTTACGTGCCCCACTTCTCCCCACTTTTCCTTATAATACTACACCATAAAAATACACAAGTATTAAGGTCTGAAGTTAAGATTGGCATATTTACATAGTTATATTTTTAACGATAACAAATATAGTAGCTGAGATCGGACCAGTAAAAATACGGGTCTTTGTAAGTCAATTACAAATCTTTTTTATACTTTTTTCTTATATATTCCAGCTTTCCGGATCGGTAAAATACGGGTCTTTACCAAACCTACCGTTTCTATACATATATATTCCACACCGATTTTTTCTATGTCTATTCCTTATTTACTTTAATACTTTTTAGTAAAATAATTTGTTCTGAAAAAAAACTTAAAAAAAAACTTAAAAAAAGAGCAAAAAACTTAATATGCACACCTTTTCCACATACGTAGAGCTTATAAGAGACTTATAATTAGGTTTGTTTTTCTGCTAAATGCGTTTCATTTCAGAGGTAAAGTGCGCTGTCATCAGTGTTGTTTTGGGGGTTTTAAGACCTCCTCTTTGCGTAATAAATTTTGATTTTTTTTTAATCTTGCTTCTATATTTATAGCAAAAAAATAATAATATAGCAAAAAAGGTTTCTAAATTTTAAAATAAAATTTTAAAGTTTTAAATTCAACATATGCTAAAGACGTTTACACTTACAGACGTTTGTACGCAACGCTATACAAATGGAACTAAAAAGATCTTAGACCACTAAAACATAGTCGTAAAAAAAAGTTTATTCTTATGATTATGATTACAAACTAAAGAATAATATTAAACGCTAAACTAAAAGTTAGGCGAAAAATTTTTTTGCGTATTGACGTCGGTTTGTGGCAAAATAAACCTTTATGCGTCAAGTTCCTTTTTCATTTATTTTATATTTTTTGATTAATTTTAATTTTGTAGCATACAAATGCATAAAAATATGTACAAAAAACTGGTACAGAAGTATCATTTCGCGGATAAGAGTAATTATTACAATAGTAAAAAATAAATAGTTTTTGTCTTTATTAGAACATATCCCAAAAAAATATATTCCATATATCTTTAATAGATTAATAAGATTAATATGATTTTTAGCGCCCGGATTTCCAAAGCGAAAAAATTTCTTTACACATAGAATTGTTAAAATGCGGAATAACCTACCTCAGAGTGCGATAAACGCTAAAACAATTAAAGATTTGAAGTCTGCAGTTGAAAAGTGGCATTAACAAACCAAATGCGTGTTATTGGTTTTGTATGATGGTCTGAATATAGTTCATGTGACATCGACATACTATTAATTTCTAAATCGGGTCTGTTTAAGGGAATCTAATAAATTCCTTTTTGCATAAAATTAATATAAACTTTTTTCAATTAATAAATTTTATGTATAATTTTATGTTCAGACAAATAAATAAGTAAAAAAAAAGAAAAAGTTTTTTTAAAATATTTAAATAAAACATAGAAAAAAAATAATAATAAAAAGATAAATTTTCGAAAATTTTGAGCAGTTTTTTTTTTCACACAAAGCCTGCTTATCTCAGCCAAATAAAATGAAAAGTAATATTTAGAGTTTAAGAATTAAAAAAGTTTTTTTAAAATACTTAAATAAAACCTTTTTTCTAGTTTGTTTTTCTAGTTTTTTGCCACAAAGTGACGTAACACACGCAAAAAAGTTGTAGCTTCAACGGTTTACGAAAAAGCCTCGACTATCATTTTTAATGGTCTAAAAGTTAGATGACGTAATTTTAGCAATCAGAAGTTATCAAGAGAGGGGCAAATCTAAAATTGAAGTTTAAGTTTTTCCACTTGGATGAGACAATATGTTTTATGCTTTTTCAATCTTGTCAATTTTTTAAAATATAACAACATTCCTACAAAAAATCAAAACACAACCCCAGCCGGCAAATAACGTTGAAATAACGTTGAAATATCGTTGAAACCTAACGTTAAATTAACGTTGGTTTAACGTTTAAAATGAAAGTTTTTTTCAACGTTGATTTATCAACGTTAAATCAACGTTAGGTTCAAACGTTATATCAACGTTGATTCGACGCGAAAAAACGTTACAACAACGTTGAATTTACGTTGATACAACGTTTAAAATGATAGTTTTTAACGTTGATTTATCAACGTTAAACGACTGTAAAATACTTTTTCACCATCAATACGTGCTATGTATGTCAAAATGTATATATGTATGTAAACGTGCTATGTGCGTCAAAATATGATCACCATCAAAACGTACTATGCATGTACATTAGTGTTGCTGTTTATTATCAAGGTATATTATGAATATTAAATCTATTCATAGTCTATACTTAGACTATTTAGAACTTTTTCAGTTTAGTTTAGTTAAAAAAGCTAGGTATGATTAAAGAAAGAGATAAAACTTGTTTTATTTAAAAATACATATTCAAATATTACATATATTTACATGTAATTGAATAAAATCTACACAAATTTCTTCTCTTTTCCACCACCTTTTTGAAATAAAGCGTAATTTAGAAAGTCAAACAATGTTCCATTAACCGAGGGTTCTTTTGGTCCATTGAATACAATAGAAGAAGCTGTAAATAAAAAAAATATATTAAAAAAATCAAAAAGGGAAGATTTAAAAAATAAATAATGAATGGAAAAGTGTTACATCTTATGAAGGCACATCTTTTTCAACGCCATATAGATTAGTGTTCTTAAAACATATTTTTCCACCTTTGCCCTTCATATCCATAGAGACCATATAACTTTTCGAAAATACTCTGAATTTTAAAAAAATAATATAACTGTTAGTTGGTTATTAATAACTTTTTCAAATATTTAATTTAAATAAAACAACCTTTTTAAT